AAGAAGTGTTATCTAAAGGACACAGATTAAATCTTTCAAGAAAACAGCCTAAAAAATGAAATTTGTGATAAAAAGATAAAATTGAAAGCTAAAAGCAGTACAAAAAAAAGGTACTAACATTAAGATGAAATATTTGCCATGTAAATAAATATCAAAGTATAAATTGGTTAAACCCATTTATTAAAAGCAAATGACACTCGGAGCAAAAAAGTCAGCCAGCTAACAGATGGCATCTGAAAGGAGACCAGCAAATAATATTTTAGGCTTTGCATTCATACAATCTTTGTCACAACTATTCAGCTCTAGTGTTACCGCATGAAAGCAGCCATAGACAACATGTAAATGAATTAGCCAGGGTAGTGTTCCAGTAGAAATTTATTTACAAAAACAGTGGGCCAAACTTGTCTTGTAAGCAAGAGTTTTCTTACCTGTGATTTAAAACAGTGCCTTAGAAAACTTGAGAGTAAAAGGATGGGCAAGAACTTAACTGGCAATTTCAAATAAAATGGGAGTCTAAATATTTGTGTCAAACTAGGTTGAATTCAAGACAAAAATCATCACTTGAGTTGCATTTTCTAATGACAAAGGATGATAGTCTGGTGGTTATGAATCTCATATGTCAAATAATACAGCTTTCAAATTTATAAAACAAAAAATATAAGAAGAAATAGACATCCGATTATAGTAGGGGATTTGACTCATCTCTTTCAGCACTTTTATTTGTCTTATTTTGTTCCCTTTTATTTATACCGTTAACACTAATACAGATGTCTGCATTCCCTGCATCCCACTCTCCCTTCCTGCGGGCCATTGCCACACTGTTGTCTGTGTATATGAGTTATGCATATATGTTCTTTGGCTAATCCCTTTACCTTTCATCCAGTCCACTATCTACCCCCTGTCAAACCGTTCATACATCCATGCCTCTTGTTTATATTTTGTTCATCAGTTATTTTACTCATTAGATTCCATGTATAAGTGAGATCATATGATATTTGTCTTTCTCCAACTGGCTTATTTCACTTAGGATAATAATCTCCAGTTTCATCCATGCTGTTGTAAAAGGTAAGAGTTCCTTCTTTTTTAATGGCTGCGTAGTATTCCGGTGTGTGAATGTACAAATGCTTTTTTTTAATCCACTCATCTGTTGATGGGCACTTGGGCTGTTTCTAGATTGTGGCTGTTGTAAACATCTTTCCTAGCACTATCTTTCAGCTCTTGACAGAGCAAGCAGACAAACACGTAATAGCACAGTGGACGTTAATCCTCCGACATATGGTATAACAAACAACATACTCTGGAAACAATGAGTGCATTTTTTTTCAAGAATACCTAGTAGGCCCCTGATAATAATACCTGAGATATAAAGAAAATCTCATTCAAATCCAGAAAGCAGAAATATATGCAGATCATGCTCCTTGTTCTTACCTAGAACTAAAACAAAGCATAAAATTCTACCATCTGAAAAAATGAAATAACTCTTGTGTCAAAGGAAAAATTAAAATATCAAATTCAAATAAACTAGAAAATTTTGATAATCAAAATTCTGGGTACTCGTACCTATGGAATATGGCTAAAGCAGTACTCAGGAAAATTCATAAATTACTAAATAAGAAAAAACGAAAATGGAAGAAGTCAGCCCAAGAAGTTACAAAAGAAATAATAAATGGATAGAAAGCAGAAAGAATTATCAGATAAAAGCAGAAATTAATGAATTAGAAAGCATACATGGAGATACTAATAAATCCAAGAGATTTTGGTTTGTTTGTTTGTTTGTTTTAAAAGATACTGGCAAAAATATGAAAACTAAAGGGGGGTAATGGTAGGAGAGGGGGTGTGCAGGGTGGAGGGGAATGAAGAGGGGGAAATAGGACAACTGTAATGGCATAATCAATAAAATTACAAAAAAAATAAAGGTAAATACCATTTAAAAAAAGTGGAACAGAAAAAGCCCTACTGAACCTGCCATGAACAGAGGAAGAAAGCACAAATACCACGTATGTGGGTGAATGAATACACAGAATAGGAAAATAAATCACATATATTTAGGACATTAAATGTAAGAGCTTACTTTGCTAAATTGTATGCAGATAAAGTTGAAAACTGGATTCACTACAAAAAAGCACTACTGAGCCCTGGCAACTTGTAGGACCATTCTAAGGACCTTAGTAACCACAGTGCTTTGTAACTTGTTCAAGAACATAGGGAAAGAAAGATTTTCTAAATTATTTTTGAAATATTATATTGATACCCAATTCTGGCAGAGCCCACCAACTGGAAATGAGCCCAGTCTCAAAATACAAAAATCTTAAAAATTAGGAAGTATAGCCCAGCGGCACATTAGAAGAAGAACACATAGTGACCAAGTTGCCTCCGTCCCAGAACTTTAAGAGTTTAGGATCAGGAAATACTGAACACCATATTTTAAAAGAGAAAAATAATCATCTCCTCAGAAGGCAAAAAGTAATTTGATAGGATTAATCATTAATTTTGAGTGCTTTCTAAAGAACAACTCTTAGTAAAATAGCAATTAATACTTCTTAATGTAACAGGAAATACATTATGATAAAAGTCAGCAGTTTTTGTACCATTGACTTAAAGCAGTCTCATTTAAAGCTAGGAGTAAGAATGGTTGCTATTATTAACATTGTTCCAGTAGTTTTGGCCAATTCAAATGAAGGGGAAAAATGTGTAAAACTGAAAAGGGGAAAACCAATCAACAGGTACGATTGTATCCCCTGGAATATGTGCACGTAAAAAGTAAACACTGCCCTTCACATCCCTCCATGCCTGCCCTCAGACGTCTCTCTTGATTTATAAAATATTTATGTGGATATACGGGCTGCTTTTTTTTCCTAGTGGTAATCAAACTGATTCTGAAAATTACTTTTTTCTCTTATATCCAGTGTGTTTTTTTCCCCCCTGGAGTTATAGATTTACTTAAACTAATCCATGAAGGATTTATGTGTGCCAGGTGGATGAAAAGGCCAAAAAGTGTAAAAGTGAAACCGCATGGGTTTTGGAATAGATCCAGACCTTCAGAGCAGCCAGATCCAAAATTTTAGTCTCAGCTTTTTCTTGCACCCTAATAAGTGAATGGGGGAAGCTATTATTTTTGTTTTATGTTGATATGATTAGGTTTACTCAGTAATGAATGTGATTCTTATTTTTTAATTAATCTTTTATTGTTTATGCTATTATAGTTCCAATTTTTTCCCCTTTGCCCCTGCCCCCAAATGTGATTTTTATTAACCAAGATACTATTTTGGAGTTTTCGTTTTCCAATTAGAGTAAGTGAAATATTTCTCAAGAGTAATACAGATGCTCTATTTTGTATCACTGGCAGGTAGAGTGTAGTAACAATAAGAATTAACATGAATTATAATTTTCACTTGCTCAGTGCTCAGTATGTTCATGCTCTGCACCATTTGAACCTTGGAGCAGCCTGGCGACTACATGGCTACTGTCGTTATCCCACTTTTACAGATGAGAAAACTGGGGTTAAATGACTTGTTCAGGGTGACCAGATCCAGATTTGGGACTTGAGCAAACCTATCTCCTGACTCCTCCAGGTTAAATGACTTGTTCAGGGTGACCAGGTCCAGATTTGGGACTTGAGCAAACCTATCTCCTGACTCCTCCAGCATTGATGTATTTTGTCACACTCACTGGTATTAGGGGATTTCATAGTCAGTTTTGTAAAGGAGAGAGTACTCCTAGAGGTTTTCTGTAGGTGGTATCTCAGCTGTTGGATTAGACATGTGGGTGACTTTTGGAGTGTGGACAGAGTGTTAGGCCACATCAGCCTAACAGTCTCTATAGTCCTGAGTGGACAAGTGAGTTGATTCAATTTTTAAAAATATTTTATTTATCTTTAGAGGGAAAGGGAAGGAGAGAAGGAGGGAAATATCAATCTATGGTTGCCTCTTGTGTTTCTCCTGCTGGGAACTGGCCTGTAACCCAGGCATGTGCCCTGACTGGGAACCAAACCACGATCCTTTGGTTTGCAGGCCCGTGCTCAATCCACTGAGCTACACCAGCCAGGCTGATTCAGTTTCATTGTAGACTATGTGGTGTTATAATATGTAAATGCTACTGCTGGGACTTTTGTGTTTAGAGAGGTAATGAGTACTGTGTCATTTCTTCCATGTTCTTACTAAACCTTTAAAGACTCATGAATCATGATTATTAATGTATTTTAAAAACAGGGGTGTCCAACCTGCAGCCTACGGGCTATACATGTGGCTGGTGATGGCTATGAATGCGGCCCAACACAGAATTGTAAATTTACTTAAAACCATTTTTTTTGCTCATCAGTTTTCTTTAATGTTTGTGTTTTTACTATGTGGCCCAAGACAACTCTTCTTCCAGTGTGGCCCAGAGATGCCAAAAGGTCGGACCCCCCTGGTGGTGTAACTGGGGTTGTCCAGTGTTGCAGAGCCCCAACTGAATGGTGGGATTATGGTGGGGTGTGAGTCTGTGGGCTCAAGTTTATAGTTTGGGTGGGATAAGAGGGGGAAGATTAAAGGGAAAATTACTTTTTAAAAAGCAGCAGTTGGCTCTTTTTTGTATTTCATAGAAACATTTGTTACAAATTGCCAAATATTTGCCAACTTAACAAAAAATGTAGACTTTCTGAAGGGAGTTTGAGGTCCCTTGGCATTGTAAAGAGATTTGGGTTCTGAAAATAGGTATAGCCTGTCAGCGCCAGTAATGAAATGAAAAGACCTGCCACTTTATGTTTGTTTGGTGGAAGACCCCTACTTTTTTAAGGTATTTTCAGAACTTAACCAAAGGAGAAGTTATTTAGTTCAATTTGGAGGGGTAAGGTAACTTAATATTTTATGCCTCTTATTATTTGAATTCAATATTGGGGTGTTGGATTACAATAAAGAATCTATCCCATTAGAAGGGTGGTAGGTATCCTAGTATTTTACTTCCAAGGTGAGCAAGCTTTGCTTATTTCATTTTGTTAACTAGGCCTTTTGATATTTTTGTAGACAATCTGCGTCATCTTGATTCTGCAGCATTCCAAAGTGTGGTATCCTTGGGGTTCTCTTAACATTGCTATGGTGCAGAAGATTTAAAATCAGGTATGGCTGTGGGGCTAGAAGTCAGTCCCTCAGTGAAATTCTTAGCTTAATTCTGCCTTACACTCTCTGATTTATCATTTGGGTTTCTTTTTTGTGGTGGTCTTTTAGCTGATGTTCACAAGGAATAGAGTCACGTGATGTATGAAGGGAAACATATACACTTCTCTGAGGTTGACAATAAGCCCTTGTGCTCGTATAGCCCCAAACTGTGCAAGCAGCGGCGACTCAACGGCTACGCTTTCTGTATCAGACACGTTCTGGAGGACAAGACTGCCCCCTTCAAGCAATGTGAATATGTGGCCAAGTATAACAGCCAACGCTGCACCAACCCCATCCCCAAATCAGAGGATCGTAGGTAAGAGCTAATAATGGGATTCTATCTTTTAATTCAGTTAATAGGTTGGAGTTTTTCTTTCGACGTGGTGAATTGAAATGATGCTCTCTCGGGGTAATCTAAGAAAATTTTGAAAATGCTTCTAAGGATAAGAGATGGCAGTTTTTTTAAAAAGAAATGGAGTAGAAAATTTGGGGAATTATTTGAAAAGTATGTTTAAGTATTATATTTTTTATTGATTTAATAGCCATTTTTAAATTATTTAAAGAAATGTTTTCCCTCAAAGTTGTTGCTTGACATCTTGGCACTGATGTATTTAATTCGCAGCTTTATAAAGTGTTTCTGACTTGTCTACTTAGTTTTGTCATCTGCCTAAATGAGAAAAATTGTAGCAACTATACTTAGGTGTTGTAATTAGTGGTAATTTTGAAATTTTAAAATCTACTTGAAAGGTAGCAATGTCTTTATTGAAAAATAATTATTCAGAAGAATGCTATTTGAATCACTCAGATTTATTTTCTCTGAGACTTCTAAAGCAGTATTTGGCATTGTTTTACACTTTTGCCTTTTTTGGTTAAAAAGAGTTCCATATAGAGTAGGTTTACTATGAGTTAGAAACTATTTTCATAGTAATGGTAGGTTTTATCACTATAATTATGAATTTATGCTTTGCTGAATTTAAAAAAGTAAAATGAGGTATTTTTAAAGAAGTTGTATACTGCTGGTTCATCTCATGTTTGTAGGAAAATTCACACTGTATTTCGCATATAATCCCTTTTCACATCTCTTTGGTTAGTTCTCCAGAAACCATGTTGATCACTGTAAGCTATTACAGAGGGAAGCATGCTTATTAAATACTACAGTTTCAAATACTTGTTAGCTTTAGGTAGAAAATTGAACTTTTTACCTCTCAGAATATATATATATATATACAGATATATTGCTTATGTATAGGAAAAAGGGTGAACTTTTACTTCCACCTTAGACTGCATCATCCTTGTTCCTGTACATATGCAAATGTCACCTACAGGAAGTGGTTGGAAAGGAATCATGTATTTTATATATCACACTGAACAATTTTTACACTTTTAGGGTGAAATAAATAATTTGTGTGGATAGAGATCCCACAAATTAGTATGGTATAATGTGATTTGGGAATACTCTGTTAGAATTTCTAAAGAGCATTTAAGGCTTCAAATTACAATACCCGAAAGTCAGAAACAGCTGCATAGTGAGCCAAGGAATAAAACTTTAATCTCAGGTGAGAAAGGGACCACTGTATTAGGGTAAACATATCTGTCCAGTTGGTTTTAGCAGACTGAAAATGTTAACTTCTTACTCCTGCCCTTTTTAAATTTAAAGAATGGAAGAACTTGGATTAAATTTTTACTTAAAGCTCCATTATAAACACATCTCAATAATTTTGTTTTTAGTTTATCGCAGTTGGAATTGTCAGCCATGGATTTTTTTTTCAGTTCAGCTGAAGCAAGTATTAACTTATATCTAACAGCAGAAAGTAAAGTGAGAGTCACTCTGAATTTGTCCAAAATATTAATTTTATGAAGCATATATTTTCACTTATATATACCAAGTAATTTCCATTTTAGGACAAGATAAGGGAAAGGATTTTTATGTTGTTATGTCAAGAAAAGCTATACTTGATAAGTGCTAATATACATATTTTTTTTCAAAATTAGCCCCAAAACATATGAATGCAAATGGTATTAAAATATACATATATATATTTGGTATTAACATTTTTGTTTGTGTGATTGCTTGAAATACATTAAAGTAGACTTTAGCAGTAAGTAGTAGTCTTAATGTTACTTCAAGAAATTCAGGTTGAATTTATGTGATATGTCTTAACCTGTGGATAAATATTGATAATTGTAACTATGCTACATGACTTACTGTAGAAAAGATTAATATTCTTTAGTTTTTATTTTTATTTTAAAATTTTTACTTATTTTTAGAGAGAGGGGAAGGGAGGGAAGAAGAGAGGGAGTAAACTTAGACTGCGGTGATAGTTGCACAACCCTGTCAATATAATAAAAAATACTGAATTGTATATTTTAAATGGGTGAATTGCATGGGATATGAATTATATCTTAATTAAACTGTTTTTAAAAGTGAACATAAAGATAACAAGCAATTTCTCCATAAATATATACATACTACTAAAAATACACATAGTTATTTTTGGTTCACAGGCCTGTGTTCAATCCACTGAGCTACTAAAAATACAGTTATTTTATATAAAATAACCAACTTAATATAACCACTTATCTCTGAGAAACCAAGGTTACAGTAATGAGCCTTAGCTTAGAAAATGGACTTTACTTTTTAATTATACCAGTACTTCTACTGAATACAGCACTATTTTATTGTGTGGAATATCAGTGTGTCGTTGCCTCTTATGTAGCTCTCACTGGGGACCTGGCCCACATCCCAGGCTTGTGCACTGACCGGGGATCGAACCACCAACCCTTTGGTTCGAAGCCTTCACTCAATCCACTGAGCTACACCAGCCAGAGCTAAGATTAATATTCTTTTGAAAATTACTTTCATTATTGTTGATGCACTTACTCCTTGGACACTTACGAATTTGAGATGGTTTATGTATTGTTTTAGAAAAAAAAATTTCCAAGGACTTTTAATTGATAAAATTATCGGGTTGTTGGTCAGCTAGAAGAAGCTTCTTGATGGCTGGTGCCTAACTTCTCTGGTGTGTATTATAAATGCTAACTTACCGGATTCCAGCTTTTTGAAGTGGAATAGTGCTGTATTCAGTAGAAGTACTGGTATAATTAAAAAGTAAAGTCCAGTTTCTAAGCTAAGGCTCATTACTGTAACCTTGGTTTCTCAGAGATAAGTGGCTATATTAAGTTGGTTATTTTATATAAAATAACTGTGTTTTTAGTAGTATGTATATATGGAGAAATTTCTTGTTATCTGTATGTTTACTTTTAAAAACAGTTTAATTAAGATATAATTCATATCCCATACAATTCACCCATTTAAAATATACAATTCAGTATTTTTCATTATATTGACAGGGTTATACAACTATCACCGCAGTCTAAGTTTACAAGGTTTTCATCCCCCAAAAGAACCCATTAGCAGTTACTCCCCTGTCTGGTAACTGTTTTAGGCTAGAAGTTCGTATTTGCATACTTATACTAAGTGCTGCTTATGGCCAAGAAAGTGGCTCTAGTTCTTGTAGTAGACGATGTCCTGGCAGAGGCGGCTGGGTGTTGCGGTGCAGCCCTGCTGTGCCAGTGCTGCCGCGCGGCCACCGCGAGTGCACAGGGAGGCCAGGCGGCTGGGTGTGTGTCAGCCACTGCCGTGCCGCCTGGTGAAGCACACAGCAGTCTCGTTTGCTGGTTCCTGCTGCCTGCGTGTGAATAGGCAGGAAAGGCTCCGTTCCAAGTTAAAAAAAAAAAAAAAACACCTCATTTTTCTCCACTAAAAAAACTATCCTTTTGTGAATTTGAAAGTGTGTGGAAAACAGCAACAAAAACTTTTTACTGTTTATTGGTAAGCTTCTTAGAATGGGTGTCACTGGAGCCCTTTCTCTTGTGGGCTACAGCTTTATGAATCTGTTCTCTGTGTGTAGAACATACAGTGGGCACTTGACATTCCTAAGGGTGATGTCGTAAGGTCTTTATGAATCCCTAAGTACTTGAATGGCATTGGAACGTAAATATTTTTCCTCCATATGAGAATTTTAAGTGATTCTTGCAGAAGAACTTTGTTTGGTATGAATCCAGAGCAGCGAAGCAGTCTGAGAGGCAAGCGCTGGCCACTCACTATTTGAACGCCTGCTGTCTGACCGCTTCTGCACGTTTGGCTCACACACTTGCTTCCGCAGAACTGCCCGGACTCTGAGGATTGCTTCAGAGTGCGGAAGTTGCGTATGTGGAAATCATGAATGTCAAGAGTTACTCTAGTCATGCATTTTTAACATACTAGGATTCACATATCACAAAATGTTGTTTCATATTCTACTTTCCTGAATATGTGTCATGAACATTTTCCCATGTATGTTTGTGTCTTTAAAGGTACTGCAACAGCCACTTGCAGGTACTTGGCTTTATCCCGAAAAAAGAGAGGAAGAAAAAGAATGATCCTATAGATGAGGTAAAGGTCAGGCACCAGATGGATACCATGGCCTTCAGCCTGACAGTGCCCACATTGGCCTTGAAGGTGCCCAATGGACTGGATGGAATGTCCCTCTCTCCACCGGGGGCAAGAGTCCCTCTCCACTACCTGGAAACTGAGTTGGAAGACCCGTTTGCTTTCAACGAGGAAGATGATGACCTGAAGAAAGGGGCAACTGTGAGAAAGAAGTTGCAGAGCAAGCTGGCCCAGAATCGGCAGCGCCAGAGAGAGACAGAGATTTTAAAAGTCCGACAAGAGCACTTTAGTCCCCCTCCTGCACCTTCACAGCAGCAGCCTCCACAGCCGCACTCCCACCTGTCACCTTTGTCCACTTCTGTAAAACCTCCAGCGCCACCGCAGGGTTTAGTCTGCAAGTCACCTCAGCCTCAGAACACCAGCCTACCACTGCAGGGAGTGGCCCCCACCACACACACTATAGCACAAGCGAGGCAGTTGTCTCACAAGAGGCCTCTGCCCCTCCTGCCATCAAGTAGGGCTCCTGTTGCGGACCCACCCAGGACTGACCGGGTCCTTATGAAAGCCACAGCCTTCTCTCCACACTTCTCTTGTATAAGTCGACTGCAGAGACTGGTGAAACTGTGCACCCAAAAACATCAGTTGGACACTGATCTGTTTCCCCACCTAGGTGAGTTGTCTGTTTTACCATGTCATATGTGTGTAATAAAACAAAATGTGCCCTTTCATCCAAGACTTCCTTTTCTTGTTTAAAAAATATATATTTATTAATTTGAGAGAGAGAGGAAGGGAGGGGGAGAGAGAGACACACACACATTGATGTGAGAGAGAAACATTGATTAGTTGCTTCCCATACACGTCCCACCAGGGATCAAACCTGCAGCCTTTTGGAAGGGATATCATCCTGTACACTGGAGGGTTGGGGGTTCGATTTGTGGTCAGGGCACATACTGAGGTTGCAGGTTCACTCCCCAGTTGGGGCACGAATGGGAGGCAGCCAGTCAGTGTTTCTCTCTCTCCCCTCTGCCCCTAAAACCAATAAGCATATTTAAAATAAATAAATATATAAAGCAGATAAATGAGGGACATTGATATATCTGTTGCTTGAGTATATAGATAGATGTTTGCCTGTTAGGTATGAGCATAGGTGAAGTAGGAATGGACATATGCTACCGAGCTGTTCACGTTGTCTATCACAGGGGGATGGAACTGACAGGGTATGTTTTTTAAGGAGATGGGAGTGGTACCTCTTATATAGCTTTTATATTTTTTCACCTATTACTAGACCATGTATGACTTGTTAATTAATAAACACCCCAAACCTTATTAATGCTTATTTGTTAATACCTTGGTATATTTTTTCAGGTGTGTAAAATTGGGGTCCTGCTATCCATAGTTTTGTAACCTGTTTTAAAATATTTGGTAATGTATTATGAATTAGTACAAACATAATTTGTGACAGCTGAGTACCTTTTCTAATTTGAGTCATTTCCAGTTTATATCATTATCAAGTGTTGTAGCTATATAGCCCTCAGTTTAACTACTTGAAGTAAAATAACTACTGTCATATCTTTAATTTTCCCTTTAAATAGATTCCTAGAAGCAGAATTGCTGATTCCAAGCTTTTGCATTTTTTTAAAAAGGATTTTAATATGTGTTGCCAAATTTTCTTTCAGAATTATTTTGTCAGTTTAACCTTTGGAAGCGTATGAGAATGAAAGCTTCTCTACATCTTTATAGTCGTGTATATTAGATGTTATTATTGTCATTATTACTATCTCACCTTTGCAAATTTAATAGAAATTTTGCTTTAATATGTATACTTCAGATCAGCATTTCTTGAATTTTTTTGGCCTTAGAATCCTTTTATTTACATTCTTAAAAGTTACAGAGTACACCAAAGAGCTTTGTGGATATGTGTTACATCTATTGATATTTACTGAATTGGAAGTTAAAACCGAGAAATGTTTAAAATAATAATTCATTTAAAAATAAAAACAAACTCACCACATGTTAACATGTTCTTTTTACAAAAAATAATTGTTTTCCAAAACAGTTATGTGAAGAGCAGCATTGTTTTTACATTGTTTTGAAAATTGTAATATCTGATTTACTGAAAAATAGCTAGATTCTCATATTTGCTTTTGTGTTCAATTGGTCATATCATGTGGTTTTGGTTACCAGATGAAAATATGGCCTTAGACGTTTGTACTTGGCAAAGGAACACTTTAATTGCTTTTTTCCCCCCTAAATAATTGTGGATATTCTTATCTGACTCTACACCAAAATTTGACAAGTGGTAGTTTCTTTTATTTTTTACTTAAATTTTTAATTGAATCTGTTGAGGTGACATTGGTTAACAAAATTATATAGGTTTCAGGTACATAATTTACAACACATCATTTGTACACTGTATTGAGTGTTTACCGCCCTAAGTTGAGTCTCCTTCCTTCACCATTTACCTCCTTTTCCCGCTTCTACCTTCCCTCCTCCCCCATTGCCTCTGTCAGTCATCATACCCGTTGTCTGTCCGTGAATCTATTTTTTTCTTTGCTTAATCCCTTTACTTTTCTCACCCAGCTTCCAACCCCCTCCTCTCTGACAAATGTCAGTCTTTTGTTCTCTGTATTTATGAGTCTGTCTCCACTTTGTTATTTTAGTTTGTTCATCATATTCCACATAATATAGTGGAATCATATAGTACTTGTCTTTCCCCAACTGGCTTATTGCACTTAGCAAAATACTCTCCAGGTCCATCCATGCTGTCACAAAAGGTAAGATTTTTCTTTCCTTTTTAATGGCTGAGTAGTATTCCAGTGCATAGATGTACCACCACTTTTTTTTTATCCACCCATCTATTGATGGACAGTTGGCTGCTTCTAAATATGGGCTGTTGTAAATAATGCTGCTGGGAATTTAGGGGTGTATATATTCTTTTGAATTCGTGTTTCAGGTTTCTTTGGGTATATTCCCAGAAGAATTCCTAATTACTTGGTTATAAGACAGTTCTGTTTTCAATTTTTTGAGGTGTCTTCATACTGCTTTCCACAGTGGCTGCCCCAGTCTGCATTCGCACTAACAATGCCCTTGGGTTCCCTTTTTCCACATCCTTGCCAGCACTTGTTTGTTGATTTATTGATAGCCATTCTGACAGGCGTGTGGTGATACCTCGTTGTGGTTTTAATTTGCATTACTCTGATGATTAGTGACATTGAGCATCTTTTTATATGTCTATTGGCCATCTGTATATCCTCTTTGAAGAAGTGTCTACTCATGTCTTTTGCCCATTTTTTACTTGGATTATTTGAGTTTTTGGCATTGAGTTTTATGAGGGTTTTTTGGCATTGAGTTTTATGAGTAACTTACAAATTTTGGAAGTTAACTCATTATTACTTGTATCAGTGAATATGTTCTCCCGTTCAATGTGTTGTCTTTTCATTTTGTTGATGGTTTCCTTTGCTGTGCAGAAGGTTTTTAGTTTATAGTCCTATTTGTATATTTTTTTCTTTTATTTCCCTTGCTTGTGACAATATATCAGAAAAATTTTGTTATGAGACATGTTTGAGACTTTACTGCCTATATATTCTTCGAGGATTTTTATGTTTTTGAGTCTAATATTTATCTTTAATTCATTTTAAGTTTATTCTTGTTTATGGTTTAAGAAGGTGATCTAGTTTCAATTTTTGCATGTATGTGTCTGATTTTTCCCAATACCACTTTAAAAAAAAATTATTTATCTTTAGAAAGGAAAGGAAGGAGAGAGGGAGAGAAATAACAATGTATGGTTGCTTCTCGTGCATCCCCTGCTGGGAACTGGCTCCTGCTGGGAACTGGCCTGCAACCCAGGCATGTGCCCTGACTGGGAATTGAACTGCTATCTTTGGGTTTGGAGGCCCGTGCTCAATCCACTGAGCTACACCAGCCAGGTCCCAGCACCACTTTTTTTTTTTTTTTTCTTTTCTTAGAGATTTTATTTATCTTTAGAGGGGAAGGGAAGGATAGAGGGAGAGAAACATCAATGTATGGTTGCCACCTGTGTGTCCCCTGCTGGGAACTTGCCCGCAACCCAGGCACGTGCCCTGACTGGGAATCGAACCCCGATTGTCTGGTTTGCAGGCTTGCACTCAGTCCACTGAGCTACACCATCCAGGGCCCAATACCACTTTTTGAATAGACTGTCTTTATCCCATTGTATGTTTTTGACTCCTTTGTCAAATATTAATTGACTATAAAGACGTGCGGTTATTTCTGGGTTCTATTCTGTTCCATGATTTATTTATTTATTTATATGTCTGTTTTTATGCCAGTACCATGCTGTTTTGATTACTGTGGCTTTGTAACATACTTTGATATCAGGCAGCCCGATTCCTCCAACTTTGTTCTTCTTTCTCAAGATTGCTGTGTCTGTTCAGGGTCTTTTGTGGTTCTATATAAATATTGGAATATTTGGTCCAGTTGGTATCTTGATAGGAATTGCTTTGAATCTACAGATTGCTTTGGGTGGTATGGACATTTTAATGATGTTAATTTTTCCTGTCCACAAACATAGTATATGCTTCTGACAAGTGGTAGTTTCTTTAAAGAATGGTTAGAGTATGGAATCTGCAAACATATTTAGGAATTTTACATGTTATGTTAAGATCCATCGATTTACCCTGTACTTTGAGTAGATCTTTTACCCATTCGAGATTTTGTAACATCGTGTGTTGATCATTTGGAAAATATTGATTTACCTAGTTATATAGATGTTCCAAATGTTGACATATTTCATTATATAAAAGTTTACGATTATGTTCATTAATATTATTACCAATCTCATCAGAAAAGTTTCTTAGGAAATTGTCATAATTTCAGTGAAGAATTCAAATGTTAAAAATTGAGCTTGCAGGTAAAAATTTGAATTTTATATGACAACAGATACTCTCCATTGTTTTTCTTGAAGTGGTGGTTTCACTGTCTTCACTTTAGAAAAAATTGACTGCCAGATATTTAAGTCTTAATAACTATAGGTTGTCCATCACTCTGCTACATAAAAATGGTGTTGAATGATAAAAAAACAAAAGCAAATTTAGATCACAATTAAAACATTCATGCAAATACTTTTCCTCAAGACAACCATCATACTTTGTTGTATGCAACTGAGGTGCTTTATATATGCTTCACATTTAGTCACACAGAATATTGTGAAAACATATACTCAATCAGGACTTAATAAATGATCTTTTAATATACAAGTGCTTTATCAAGGACGTTCTTTTTTTATTTTAATTGTTGTTTAAGTACAGTTTTCTTTTACTCCCATCCCAGCCCACCCACTCAGCCCTCCCCCACTCCCTCCCATTTCCACCCCCCTAGTTTTTGTCCATGTGTCTTTTATACTTGTTCCTGTAAACCCTTCCCCTTTTTTCCTGAAATTCCCTCCCTCACCCCTCTGGACACTTGTCAACCTGTTCTCTATTTCAGTGTCTTTGGTTACATTTAGTTTGCTTGTTTGGCTTGTTGTTTAGGTTCCTGTTAAAGGTGAGATCATATGGTATTTGTCTTTCACCACCTGGCTTATTTCACTTAGCATAATGCTTTCCAGTTCCATCCATGCTGTTGCAAAGGGTAGGAGCTTCTTCTTCCTTAATGCTGCATAAAATTCCATTGTGTAAATGTACCACAGTTTTTTGATCCATTCATTTGATGGGCACCTAGGTTGCTTCCAGTACTTGGCTATTGTAAATTGTGCTGCTATGAACATTGGGGTGTATAGGTTCTTTTGGATTGGTGTTTCAAGGTTCTTAGGGTATCTCAAGGACATTCTTAAAACTGTTGTTATTTGACTGCAAGTTCTGGTGTGAAGCTTACCGGGACCACTAGTACAGGTGGTACTGCCTTGATTCATGCTACGGCGCCTGCAGTTGACATGTCATGGTGCTTTCTAGCATCTCTGCAGGTGTCAGCAGTGGAAAAGGGACCCCAGGGACTCTGTGGACTGTACTTGGAGTGAGAACTGCTATTTGGGATCTATTTGGGATTAATAATCTAATTTTGAATATTCATATTTTCTTCAGACATTTGTATTATTTATTTTGCCTTTTCAATTTTTCGTTTTAAATTATGTGTTTCTCTTTTTTATTGGTTAGGAAGAACTTTTTATACATCATGTTTGTTATTCTTTTCCCTCTCATTTGTTGTTTACATTTAAATATCTATTATAATAATTTTGGAGTTTTAGAAGTTATAATTTTTAATATATTCTCTTTTTTAAGGATTTCTTCTTTTTAAATCAGTTTTTCCCCCCATCTTTGAACTCTCTTCCTCCCAAGAGTATTTGACCTATACATTCTTTTAATCCTTTTATTATTTATATTTTAATCATCTATTTGGAACTCATTAGGTATTAGTTTTGAGGCAGAGATCTACCCCCCCCATGTTTGCTTTTTATTATATCACCTATATTATCTACTAAATTTTTATTTAGTAGATAAAATAAAAGCTTTTTACTTCTGGTTGCTGATAAATTTTTAGCTTTTTGAATGTTCATTTTGAACAGAAAAAGCCTTGTCTTTTTTTTTTTTTTTTTAACTCAAACATACTAGGGGCCCACGTTTTCAAAACAAAAGATTATTTTGGAGAAACCACAAATCGTAATGCACCGTATGACTGCGGCATTGTCTGCATTCGTGTCCACAAAAAATACTTAAAGAGAAATGGAGTCTTGTAATTGGCTTTTGCACTCCTGTCTGGGCTGGTTATCTCAGTTAGTTACATTAAAACTGGTGATAGGAAGCCCAGATCAAAGGTTTGCTTTATTGGACAATGAATTTTACAGTAGGAGAAACACTTCCATTTTAGTTCTTAATGATTTAGATCATGACTTTTTCAGAGAAAGTATAGGTATCTTAGTAGAAATTATGACTTCTACGAATAACTCATGTTCTCGTTTTTTTAAGGTGTCTAAGTGCTACTTTGTGTTTGAAAGACCTCACTTTTCAACATCCTGAAGCTGATGCTGTTGTGATCACTTTTTTTTTTACCTGTTTTAAACAACAAATTACTAATTATTGTAGTTGAGGGACAGTAACTTTTTTTCTTTATCTTTTTTATTGTTGTTTGAATACAATTGTCTCCATTTTCCCAACACCACTTTCCCATGCCCGATCCACCCTCCATCCTTCCTCACTTGGGTGTTGTCCATGGGTCCTTTATACATGTTCCTTTATGACCTTTTCCTTCTTCCCCCACTCTCCCACTCCCCCACCCCTGTTACTCCTCCCCCCTTCTGATTACTGTCAGTTTGTTCTTTATTCCAATGTCTCCTTTTACTTTTTAAGTAACTTACTTTTTAAGGTGACCTGACATTTGGATACTCACCTTGGTACTAGATGTGAGGTTTCTTTCTGCCACTGACCATGTGTTAATTTTAAGCATTTTTAATTTGAACTTTTTCTTTATATCCATATTTGGCACATGTAAAGTCATTTACGTTATGGAGAAGTCCTTTCTTATAAGGTTTTATTTATTTATCTTTAGAGGGGGAGGGAAGGAGAGAGGGAGAGAAAAATCAATGTGTGGTTGCCTCTTATGTGTCCCCTGCTGGGAACTGGCCTGCAACCCAGGCATGTGCCCTGACTGGGAATCAAACCAAGACTGTGATCCCTTGGTTTGCAGGCCCGCGCTCAATCCACTGAGCTACATCAGCCAGGGCTTGTAGAAGTCCTTTTTAATATAACTTTGTCTATATGAGTTTTTTGTATCTCAAAAAGGCAGCTTAGAATGCTGTGTATCAAGCTAATTCAGGTTTCAAAGTGGTATGAGTATATTAGAGTAATGCAGTTCCACACGCTGCTGTGTTTTAGGCTCTGCAGTATCAGTGTTTATCAAGATTTCTTCTAGATATGACACTTTTAAGCAAGCGAAATCTTTCTGTTGGAAGCGAACAATTATTCAGTCATTAAAAATAATATTCAGAACCAGTATAAAGGACACATGGACAATAACAAGGAGGGGTGGAAACGGGAGGGAGGTGGGCAGGATTGCGGGGACTGGGATGGGGGGAAAAGGCAGAAAACTGCACTTGAACAACAATTAAAATTAAAAATAAATTTAAAAAATAATAGCATTTAACAAAATAAATAAAACATTGTTCGTACTATATTTTACTACTTTTCCCTATGAATTTGCTTTTCAAAATGGAACACAACATCGGGCAGTTATTGCTTAAAAGAATTAAAAGAAACCCCAAGCCACATTAGAAATAGGATGTAACCATTCTGCCTCTCCCTCTGCCTATAGTGGGCAAGAGCCAGGGAATGGCCCTGCCTAGTGGCTGGAGTCCCTTCCTCCAGAGGTGCTGGGAAAAGGGGGTTGGGGCGGCTTTGTCTTTGACAGTTTATTCTAGGGCCCTTCTTAGTTGAAGTACAGAGTGACTCCACCGGTGCCTTTAGACTTTTTTCTTGCCTGAACTTCTTTTATCGCCATCTGGAATATGTTTTATGGTTTTATGACATTTTAGTGTATGATGTTTTGATACTTAAGACAGCCTACCTTTTTTTTTTTTTTTTTGATTTGTGAACTTTCTTTGCTTGTGTTGTTTCTCTTCAGTTTGTGAGGTGTCTGATAAAAGAAGTTCTTCCTTCCACAAACCATTTGCAGCAGCATGGGTGGACCTAGGTGGTATTTTGCTAAATGAAATAAGCCAGACAAAGACAAAAACCATATGATTTCCCTTATATGTGGACTCTAAAAAAGAACAAACAAAATTGAAACAGATTCGCAGACACAGAGAACAGACTGATGGTAGCCAGAGGGGAGGGTGGCGGGGGGACTGGCTGAGGGATTAAGAAATACAAATTGATAGTTACAGAATAGTCACGGGGATGTAAGGTACAGCATAGGGGATATAGTCGGTAATATTTGTAATAATTATGTATGGTACCGGATGGGTACTGGAAACATTGAGAGAAAAAATTTGTAAAGTATATGAGGGGGGACTCCCCCCACAAAAATCAGAATTATCTTCTGGAGGGTGAAACCCTTGTATTGGGTTGGCTAGAAAGTCCTTCTAGTTGTTTCCATAAAATAAGACACATTTTTCATTTTCACCAATAACTTTATTGATTTGGATATTTTAAGTATGCCACCTATCTTTTGCATTGGTATACCGTTTGAATATTCTTAATTAATGTCTCAGTTTCATCACTGTCAACTTCAACTTCTCTACCCAACCTTGGAGCATCGTCTAGCGAGAAATCTCAAGCATGAAACTTTGCAAACCACTTTTGACACATTTGATCAGTTTCAGCACTTTGTTCATACACTGCACAAATATTTTTTGTGTGTTTCAGTTGAGTTTTTACCTTTTTTGAAATAGTAAAGCATAATATGGCAAAAATGTTGCATATTCCATCTTCAGTATTAAAATGGCTACACAAAAATTCACCAGTTTTTATTTTTTTTAATGCCCACTGATATGACAGCTGTCACAATACATTCTAACAGAATTGTTTTTAATGAAGTTAAAGAGAACTAAGCACTACTAGAGCCATGTTAGGGAGGAAACAGAGTGAACTTTTTGGCTAGCCCAAGAGTACAAGCCTCCCCCACCAGCTGAGTGTGGGGGGGGGGACACTTGCCATCTGTGTCAGTGTGCCAGCTGATGTTGGTGTGAGAGGCTTTATTCGACTTCAGGGAATTTTCTTATGAAAACCCTTTCAAAGCATTTGTCCATTTCATGATGGGTGATTTATAAGTTTACCTGCCCACACCACCCTGAGTGTTCAGCAGTTTTTGACCCAAAATGGCGTGACTCCCATGTCCCACCCTCCCTAATCACCTGACACACCCCAAGCGACATTATTTTTGTTTGTTTCCCTGGATGAAAAGAGCAAAGGGAAATGTTTTGCTGTTGTAGAAGAGGTGAAACAAGAATGGTAGAAACACTAAAAGGCATCAAAATCAATGAGTTCAAAAACATTTCAGCAGTGCAAAAAGTGTCTCAGTAGGTGTATTGCATGAAATGGAGAGTACTTTGAAGGTGACTGAAACTTAAACGTGTAAGAATAAATACACAGTTTTTTATAAATAAATTTTGGGTCTCTGTGGGCCCCCCCCATACGATTATCTAACCTCTATGCTGTATACCTGAAGCTAGTACAAAATAATATTGAATGTAAACTGTAGTTGAAAAATAAAATTAAAGAAACAACCGAAACAGAAGTTCATCCTTGGCCTATAAGCTTTTTATTACATCGTTATTTTGGACCCAAGTGCATGTCATCATGACTGTTAATATCTTTGTCAGGCAGGGATGAAACTCATCAAGAGGCATTTATTCATATTATGATAGTACTTACTATAGGTGTTGGGCCACATATTTCAGGTCGCTTTTTCTTTAATGTTAAAAGTGAATTTTTTTCTTACTTGCAATACTCTCTCATCCGTGCCAGGGCTGGACTGGTCTGAAGAGAGCGGAGAGGAACCGGAGGACTCAGAGGAGGCCTCGCCATACCAGGTTGCATGGTCCATCCGAGAGACCCTCAGACATGAAAGACACACGTGAGTCCTTGTTTTTATTCTTAAGTTAACACTGTAGTACATTGATCTTCCCTATCTGTGCAATTTTTGAAAAACTGGATCCAAATTTATTGGATCCAATATTATTGTAAAGGAGATCAAGTAGACTCTACTTGGAAAGAAATGTACTATATTGTTTGGGGAAAGTTACTCTTAGGTTTTCTTGGCTAATTTGTTTCTGAACCTTGCCATTTATCACTGAAGGAAATAATTGGAATAGACTTTTGAATTGAAAGGGACCTTATGATTACCTGAACCCATTTCCTCATTTTACAGAAGAGGAAATCAGGGCCTGGATAAGGCAGGTTAAGGAACTTGCTGTGGTCCCAAGGCTACTTGGAAGTCCCACTCTCTTGACTTCTCCGTATCTTTTTTGGCCAAATCCCCATAGTTGCCATAAGTAGTGTTCTTTTACTTCACCTGTATCTTCTGTAAGATTGATCTGTTCTTAAATTTGTGTGTGTGTGTGTGTGTGTGTGTGTGTGTGGTGAGAAGACTTTATTTTTTTCAGGGAACCGTTGAAATAAGTGAACATGTGTAGACAAGAAAGGATTTAAAATAAATAGCTCAGTGCCATCAAAGATTACGTTTAAATGAACTCCAATTACATATTCTTAAATATTTTAATGTGCTAAATATTTCTAACATGCTAACATGTTTTTCAAGATAATCTCATAAAGGTTCTTGGCGTCTGTCTGCCGTAATAGAAAGCTGTCAGAAAGCCAGCTTTCCTCCCCACCCCGGGGACTTAGAGTCATAGGAATGCACTTGGTGCAGTATGACCATGCTGAGATGCATCCTTACTGGCCAGTTATTTTTTTAAAGAGTATTGTACTTTATCAACTAATTCTTTTTTAAAAGATTTTATTTATTTATTTTTAGAGAGAGGGGAAGGAAGGGAGGGAGAGAAACATCAGTGTGTGGTTGCCTCTCATGCGCCCCCTACTGGGGACCCAGCTCACAACCTAGTCATGTGCACTGTCTAGGAACCGAACTGAGCCACACCAACCAGGGCTTTAAAGAGTTTTGAATAGATGATCAGTAAGACAGAGAGACCAGTTATCTGTATCATGTCAACTTGTAGAATTTTGCAGTGTCATTCTGTGAACATGCATATAAACTTAAAAATGCTTTGTTAGAACATCCCAAGGTAGATTAGGCTTACAGAACTGATTCACTAGACATTAATGTGTAAACCAGAATGTCAGTGTACAGTAAGACATACAGCTTACAGTGAGATAGTTTACAGTGAGACATATAATCATTAGTACAGGTGCTCACTAACTTACATGGGAAGCAAAATGTAATCAGAAGCTTACTTGGGCATGGAATTTTAGAGCAAAGAGAGTTAGATTTATTAATGGCTAGTGTCATTAACTTATAATAGCCTGATGCAGTCCTTTCCACACCTGGGATTTGTCTCCCACTTAGTTGTCCTTGCCCTCCCTCCTAGACAGTATGGCAGAATGCTGTATATTCTTCGCTCTGATGTTACATTTTAAGGTTTATTTTTTTATTTTCATTCAAGAGGAGAGAGAAAGAGAAGGGCATGTGCACGCACGCGCGCGCGCACACACACACACACACACAGAGGAATCAAACCAGTGACCTTTTGGTTTACAGGACCATGCTCCAACCAATTGAGCCACACCCATATGAGCCAGGGCTTGATGTTCTATTTTATATGTTGTTCAAGACTGTTTCATTATCATTAGCATATCCTTTCCTTCAGATAGAAGTACAATTGAGTGTAAGCTTGTTTATAGACCCTATCAAGCGTGCTTCTAAAAGTTGATAATTTATATTCACTTACTTGACTTGGGAAAATTTGGGTAAATTTTACAAATTGCTGTAAATGAGGTAACATAAATAAATGCTCAGCACAGTACCTGGTACATGGGAACGATTGATAAATGATAGTTATGATTCCTATTTTAATTCTCGAGGTGACCTAAACATTAGGAGCTCTTCATTAGGAGCATTCTATACCCGTGTCTGCCTTTTGTTCTTGCAGAGTTTTCAGAATATTTCTTTTGTTGTTTTAGACTGTGACCATCCTTATTTTTCTTCACCTTTGTGGCATTTTATTTTCTTGGCCACTTTTCCTAGACTTAGGGAACTAATTCACTCATTGCTTCCTCTTTGACTTACCATGATACTCTGCTTTCCTGGTTCTTCTTTTCCTTCAGAATATTTTCCTTTTTTTTTTTTATAAGCAGTTACCCTTACTTCTTGCCTAGCTGTCACTTTACTCTTTGGCCCTTCATTCTTTTCTCTTCATTTTATTTATTCACGCAACATACATGTTCTTGCTGAACACTTATGCTCCAGGCGTGGAACACTCTATTCTTTTTCTTGGCTGACACTGAGATTGAGTTTGTTTATGCATAAAATCCTGGGTGGACTATTTTTCTTTCAGTACTTAAGATGTTGCTTACATGTTTTGCGTTGTTGCCAATGAGAGATTAGCAGTTATTTGTATTGTTCTCATTCATATCCTTGCCCAGCGAACTTTTTGTTTTGTTTTTTTCTTCTCTGACTTTTAAGATTTTTCTCTTTATCAATAGTTTAAAGCAGTTTGATTGGTTAGTTTTTTGGTTTTTTTTTTTTTTTAATGTTTACTGTGCTTGGAATTCAGTGAGCTTTCTATAGCTGTAGATTTATGTCTTACAAAATCTGGAAAATTTTTGGCTGAATTTTTTTCAGTTTTTCTTCTTTCCCCTTCTATTTGAGAAACTCAAGTTACATATATTTTAGGTTGCTTGAAATTATCCCATAACTTACAGATGTCCTCTTCATTTTTTGTTAGTCTGTTTTTTCCTCTCTGTGTTTCACTTGGGAGAGTTTCTATTACTGTATTCAGGTTCATTACTCTTTTGTTTGTAGCATTTAATCAACCATTAATCTCATCCAGTGTATTTTTTTATATTAGACATTGTGTTTTTCATCTCTAGAAGGTTGTTTGCTTCTCCTTTATGTGGTCGTGGTTTACTGTACCTTGAATATATGGGATATTCTTTTAATAATTTTTAAAAAGATTTAATTTATTTATTTTTAGAGAGAAAGGGAGGGAGAGAAAAATTGATGTGTGGTTGTCTCTCACATACCCTCAACCAGGGACCCAGCCCACAACCCAGGCATGTGCACTGACTGGAAATTGAACGAGCGACCCTTTAGTTTGCAAGTTGGCACTCAGTACACTGAGTTACACCAGCCAGGGCTACTTTTAATATAGTTTTTTAGATGTCTGGTTTACTAATTCTATTATCTGTATCATTTCTGGGTTCTTACAGATTCTGTTTTCCTGTTCTTTGTATGCCTGATAAGTTTTTTCCCTTTTATTGAATTTAAGTGGGTGACACTTGGTAACAAAATTATACAGGTTTCAGGTACACAATTCTACAACAGAGCATCTGTACATTGTATTGTGTGTTCACTACATCCATCACCATTTACCCACCTGGGTACCTCCAGGTGGAGGGTACCTCTGCTTCTCCTTACCCTCTTCCCCCTGGTAATCACCACATCGTTGTCCCTGTCCATGTGTTTTCTCTCTCTCATTTCCTTTTTGCTCAATCCTGCCATCCCCTCCACCTGGCTCCACTCCTAGCTGTCAGCCTGCTCTCTGCCTGTGAGTCTGTCTCTGTTTTACTTGTTAGTTCAGTTTGTTCGTAAGATTCCACATATGAGTGAAGTCATATGGTATTCGTCTTTCTCTGACTGGCTTATCTCACTTAGCATAATGTTCTCTAGGTCCATCCAGGCTATTGCAAAGGGTAAAATTTCCTTCTTTTTCTTCTTTTATTCATTCATCTACTGAGTGGCACTTGGGCTCCTTCTAAATTTTGGCTATTGTAAATAACGCTGTAATGAATGTAGGGGTGCATGTATTCTTTTGGATTAGTATTTTAGGTTTAAATTCCCTCCAGTGGAATCACTGGGTAATAAGGCAGTCTCATTTTTTATTTTTATAAAAAATTTTATTTATTTTTTAGAAAGAGGGAAAGGGAGGTAGAAAGCAAGGGAAAGATACATGACATGTGAGAGATACATGACTGGTTGCCTCTCCCACACCCCCAAATAGGGACCTGGCCTGCAACCCAGGCATGTGCCCTGACCAGGAATTGAACCAGCAGCCTTTTGGTTCATAGGCCAGCACTCAGTCCACTGAGCCACACTAGCCAGGGCTCATTTTTAATTTTTTGAAGTAACTCCATATAGTGCTTTACACAGTGGCTACCCCAATCTGTATTCTGATAGGTGTGAGATGATACCTCATTGTAGTTCTAATTTGTATTTTTCTGGTGATTGGTGGTATTAAGCATTTTTCATGTCTGTTGGTCATCTGTATGTCTTCTTTAGAAGGTATCTGTTCAGATCCTTTGCCCATTATTAATCGGATTGTTTGTTTTATTTGTGTGTGTGTGTGTGTGTTGTTTTATAAGTTTCTTGTAAATTTTGGATATTAATCCCTTATCAGATGTATCAGTGAATATGTTCTCCCATTCAGTGGGTTCTTTTCATTTTATTGATGGTTTCCTTTGCTTTGCAAAAACTTTTTACTTTGAGGTAGTTCTATTTGCTTTTTTTTTCTTTTTGTTTTCCTTACTTGAGGCAATATATCAGAAAACATATTGCTGTGAGAAATGTTTGAGATTTTACCTGTGTTTTCTTCTAGAATTTTTATGATTTCAAGTCTAATATATAAGTCTTTAACCCATTTTAAGTTTATTCTTGTGTGTGGTATAGATAGATGGTTTAGTTTCTTGAAGTTTTCCATCATTATTTTTTTTTTACATAGGTTTTCAATTACTTGCTCTTTTTCTTCTCCCTCTGGCACCTTCATGATGCAGATGTTGGTGCACTTGAAGTTGGCCTGGAACCTTCTTAAACTATCCTCCATTTTTTGGATTGTTTTTTCTTTCAGCTTTTCCGATATGGTGTTTTTTGCTTCCTTATGTTCCACATTGCTGATTTATTGT